AGAAACTGAGATGTCTAATTGTACAAGACTGATACTAGATCCCTGTCTCTCACTCTAGGCAAAACCCAGCATAGAATGGAACACACTCCATTCTGGCCCCAACTAATGCCTCTTCTCATATGTGAATATGAATTTTGAATTTTTACATTTGTGTGTTTATCTTGGAATGCCTGTAGAGGCCAGGGAGATTGACAGGGACTGATGATGTGGGAAGGGCTTAAAAGACAGGAGACAGTAGAACACATGCCAATAAAAATAGAGAGGTAGACTATTGTGGTGGAAATGTTTGCAGGGAGCTAGTAGTAGGAGAATGGAGAATAACACAGAGTGGAGGGGAGAGTTAATCAAAACTAATGATGTGTTAAAAGTTAACTGTAGACTGACTATTTTCTACACTAGTTGACAAGTATAATAAGAAGAGTCTGAATGGAAGTACCCTGCATGGGTAGTGCAGCTCCCAGAAGCTATAGGCAATTAAACAAAATCCTAGTTCAGAGTATGTGATAAAACCCTATGAGAAGCCCACAGGTCTCCATAACAACACACACTATTAGCTTTTCTTTTGATTGCCCACCAGACCTAGCAGTAAGACTCTGCTGTTGAAGGCATCATATACTTTGGTTACAGGATATAGAGAAAAGAAGCCAGAATTTAACTGGATGTTTCCTTCCTGCTAGCTAACATCATGGTACCAGCATGGTGATGCAAGCTGCCAGGGAAGAAAAATAATCAAGGGTCTTATCCAGCTACAAATCCTGCAAGCTGCTTTACCAACTAGTCAGGAAAGATGTGTCCATTTGTGCAATGGTGGGATAAATATTATGGTAGTAACCAATCACTTTTTGACTCGATGAACTTCCTTTTAAATGAAGAAATTCATGCATAATGTGTACTGAACATCTGGTCCAAAGCCCATAGCTGGGGAGCTCATAGGACCTAGGACAGAAGCTACACTGATACTGTGATAAATACCATGTCAAACTGACTTCTAAATATTAAAGTTTTTACTTTTAAATTATTGCTGCTCTCATCTCTGGTGAGAGAAACTTCTGTTTACTGTGGGTGATGATGGTTCTGGCAGAGACACATGACTGTTTATAGGGTTTAAAACAAGCAATTGCTGAGTGCAGCCCTAAACCAATATCAATATTATGCCCCCCAAGGCTCAGGGAACAGCTTGAAAAAGAGGAGAAATTTGATCTAAGAGCCAGATGATGGGGAGGAGTGCTGTGGAATACAGCTTTCTGAAAGAGATAGGATCTATGAAACATATTCCGTCATAGATGGGGGAGGGGTGCGAGTCCCCACTCCTCCTTGAAGAGCTACTGACAATTATTGGCCCCTGGCGGAGGAAGAGTGATTTTCTTCAGTAGTGTAATCAACATTATGTTGCCCATAAGTGCCTACTCATGCTCATGTGAGCAACTCTAATTAAACTGAGTGGGATGGACACACACACACACACACACACACACACACACACACACAAATGAACATAGGAGGTAAACATTGGAGGAAGAAAAAAAGTCTCAGTGGAAGAGAGATTCAAGAGAGTGGTGAGGAAATGTAATGATCAAAATATGTTATTTAAATATATAAAATTATTACAAGTCATAGTGAAACAAGCCTTTAATCCCCTCATTCAAGAGGCAGAGGTAGATTGTGAGATTGAGGCCAACCTGGTCTGCATAGTGAATTCCAAGGCCAGCCAGACCTACATAATGAGATCTTGTGTTGAAAAAAAAGGAAATACTCAAATAATAATAATAATAAAATAATAATAATAATAATAATAATAATAATAATAATAATGATTAAAATAAAAGAACTTTATATAAAATTTGGAAGCAGTTTGAGGAAAACATTTCAGGACATGGGCACAAGCAATAAGATTCTCAACAGCTCTTCAATAGCTCAGACAACAATTGGAAGAAATGGCAGATGTAATGCATCAAATTAAATGGCTTCCCTGAAAATAAGGAAACAATAAAAAGAGTGAAAGACAGCCAACAGAATAGAAAAACAGAAGAAAACCCATTGCCAGCTATTCATCCAGGTCATTCACAACCAGAATATACAATGATGTTAGAAATTACCAACAAAATTCCAAGTAAACCAATCCATAAGTGGGTCAAAGTTCAGAATATCTAAAAAAAAAAGTACAAATATCCTGTAAATCCATAAAAGAAATTATAATGTAAGAAGTCATCAGGAAAATGCAAATCAAAACTACCTGTGAAATTCCATCTCACCCCAGTCAGGAAGGCTGCCATCAAAGAAACAAACAATAAATGCTTATTTAGGGAGGAAAAAAGAACTCTTTTCAGTGTTGATTAGAATATAAGTTGGCATAATACCTATGGAAATCAGTTTGGAGTTTCCTCAAAAAGCTAAAAATAAGATTGCCACATGATCAAGCTACATTACTCCTTTGTATGCATCTAAAGAAACCAAAAGTGGTATACAATGGAGAAATGTCTGCCACCATGGCCATCAAGCGACGATTACATTAGTCAGTTTGTAAGTTCAGTCCAAGAGCCCATCGTTCTATTTAATGAACAGATAAAATGTGTAGTATATAAGTGATTGAAATCATTCAGCCTTAATGAAATTACTTGATTTGAACGCAAAAGGTTGGAAATGGAGTTGCCGAATTAGGGGAAATAAGACACAGAAGGGCAAGTATTGCATATGGAAAGTAGAAGAAAAAATGCCATAAATGTAACAGGAGAAAAATAGACCTGAGTGAGCAGCAGTGAGTGTAACCGAGAGCGTTATGGCAAAGGTGAGTGTGATCAGAGTGTGCTGTGCACACGCAAGAAGTTGTCACTATCAAATATATTATTTTGTGCAGTTAATATATGCTAATAAAATTCATCTGTTCTACATTTCTACAAGCAATAGATGTGATATTTGTAATTAGAACACATATAGTAGCAGAAAAATTAAATATCTAAGAATAATCTAGTCAACTATAGGCCAAACATTTGTCACACTGACCCATTTAGAAGAAGTGACTTTTTTATAAATGTGTTCAGAAGATGTGGAGGGCTCTGTAACCTGAAAACGTTCTCTTTCTTTTGCTTAAAATAACATCAGATTATTCTATTACAGTGTTATTTAATATGTAAATACTGCTATGAATTAAGTGTGGCTCAAAATGTACAAAGGAATAAACATTTCGAAAAGGAATCCTATAATCAATCATCTACATAGTTACACAACCCAACAGAAGTGTTCATATCTACTTGACAAATGTGCCATATAAAGCTTTTATCAAATTATTAATTTGAATTTACACAAGCTGCAAACAGGCTGCAGGTTTCTAGAAAGAAAACCCACACAGAGATTCTGTCAAATTCATTCATGGGAAGAATACAGGCCAATGAGAGGAAGAAAGAATAGATCATTACACTGATGGATTTCACAATCATAAGCTGAATGGAGAAGCCAATTATAATTTTTATTTGCAAAGGGCCAAAGAAGCCAAAGGTGGCATCATTGGCTGAAAAGTAAAGTTGACATAGAACAATCGTCTCGCCTTGAAAAAGAATGAGAGAATGTCATTTTTAAAAAGGGTGAATATTTATTTCTTACCTGATTAATAACAGACATGTTCATCTTGTGATTCTCTCTCCATCATGACATTATTTATTGGCTTTCAAAATATAGTAGGCTGTGTAAATATTTTAAATAAATTTAAGTATGTTTGCATCATTAGATATCATTTCAACCTATCTCAAATCCATCACTGCACACAGAGAAAAGCAATAGAGGAAGAGAATCAAGAAGGGATCACAAAATGAGATGCTAAGACAGGCAGACAGAAAGAAAAAGACAGAAAGACAGAAAAGAACACTAACCTGAAAACCTTGAATCTGCTATCAGCAGTTACCTGCTTGCTCAGGTTTGCCTCGGGTGAATTGTTATATGGCAGGAATCCCAACATGATCCTCCTAGTGAGCACCTCAGCATAGGAGAAGTCAGGACCAATAGACACACACACAACCACACACACACAGACATACACACACACACACACACACACACACACATCTTCTCACTCTAATGTACTTCCACTTACACATCAGTCCTCTTGTCTGCACTGACATGAAACATGTTATGCCAGATATCTTCATCCCAATTACCTTTGAGACACACTGGTGGAGGAGCTGCTAAAGAAACAGATATCTGGGCCAATCTGAAGTGAGGACTTTGTGTGTAAAAGGACAGAGACCCAACTTTCCATCACTGTGAACAGTAGAGGAATATTCTTTTACACTGTGTGAAGAAGTGTCATTGTGATTGTTTGATAAAGAGCTGAGTGGCCAGTAAGTAGTCAGGAAAAGGTTAAGCCGGACTTCTGGAGACAGAGAAGTCTAAGAAAAAGAAAGGAGTCTCCAGCCAGATGCAGAGGAAGCAGTATATGCAGGAGGAGAGGTAAAAGCCATGATCCACGTGACAGCACATAGATTAACAGAAATGGGTTAATTTAAGTTATAAGAGATAGTTAGAAACAAGCCTAAGCTAAGGCCGAACTTTCATAATTAATAATAAATCCTTGTGGCTTTTTTGTGAGCTGGTGGCTGAAAGAAAAATCCACCTACAAAGGAGAGACAAAATGTAGACAAACAGATACTCTGACTCTCCCAAGACAGCAAGGGCCACCACATGACCAGATGATGATCAAGGATACAATTGAGACCAGTAGTGCAATAACCTTCCCTTTATTGAAAGAATCTCTAGACATTATTCTGGAATAAGAATCAGATTAAACTTTCCAATGATGCATAGCATTGGCAAACACTTCCTTATGAACCATAAACTGAATATGGAAAATGATGTAAACAACATCAAGGAAAAGTCCTGCTAATTGGTCCAAATCTTAGAGGCCTGACATATAAAAGGTCCAGAATGGAAGAACTCACCATATTGTGGAAAACTCACCTGTGAACAGGAACCCTCCAACCACAATTCACACTATGGCCAACTCCTGCTGCACCTCTTGCTGCCAGCCTACCTGCTGCTGCAGGATGACCTGTTGTAAGCCAACTTGTGTTACCACCTGCTGCAGCACACCTTGCTGCCAGCCCAGGTGTTGTGAAACCACCTGCTGCAGGACAACCTTCTGTAAGCCAACCTGTGAGGCCAGCTGCTACCAGCCTTGCTGCCAACCCAACAGCTGCAAAACGATCTGCTGCAGGACCAGCTGCTATAAGCCAACCTGTGTAACCAGCTGCTGCCAGCCCAGCTGCTGTGAAACCACCTGTTGGAAGACCACCTGCTGTAAGCCAACCTGTGTGACCAGCTGCTGCCAGCCCTGCTGCCAGCCCAGCTGCTGTGAAACCACCTGTTGTAGGACCACCTGCT